AATCATGTTTTCTATAGCAAAAAAGGAAAATCACTTTTTCAGTGATGGACAATTGATATAATCTCTTCTTTTTTTCTTCTTTAATTACTTTGAGTTGCACAATTAAAAACTATTTTATTTTTCTTTAATTTCTTAACTCAACTCTCTTCATATTATATTATTTGAATCAATAAAGACATTTTTTTATAGTAGTATAATAAAGACACTTTTTTATAATAGTAGAATTAAAAAGAAATTGTTATTTATCAATTAGATTGTTAGATAATTTCTTTTAAATAAAAAATTTTAATTTTGTTGCTATTTTTTTTTTTTTAAAAGTTTTAATATCAAGACTTGTTATCGTACAACGGAAAATGGTCAAGAAAATTAAAAAAGCAGCATGCGCGTTGCCCACCAAGATATCCATAAATTCCCACATCGATAATATGCGTTCATACTTTCCTCTCAAGCAGAGCGAATTGAAGGGGGGAGAAAGATGGACGCAAGCTCTTCTTTGGTGGCAACAACCCATGTTGTTCTCTTCCCATTCATGTCCAAAGGCCACACCATACCCATCCTCCACCTAGCCCGCCTCCTACTTCGCCGCCGTGGCATTACCGTCACTGTCTTCACCACCCCCGGAAACCTTCCCTTCGTCTCCAACTCCCTCTCCGATACTGATGCATCCATCATCCCCATCCCCTTCCCACAAAACATCCCCGAAATCCCATCCGGTGTAGAAAGCACCGATAAACTCCCTTCTATGTCCCTCTTCGTTCCCTTCTGCAGGGCAACCAAGCAAATGCAACCCGACTTCGAAAGAGAGCTCCAGAGTCTCCCACGGGTGAGCTTCATGGTCTCCGATGGATTCCTCTGGTGGACTCTGGAATCCGCATCAAAGTTCGGATTCCCAAGATTGGGGTTCTTTGGAATGGGTGGTTATGCTTCCTCTGTTTCGAGAGCAGTCAGCGAGCATCTGCTTCTACTCGGGCCAGAGTCAGAGGACGAGTTGATTACAGTGACTTCATTTCCATGGATTGGGATTACTAAAAGGGATTTTGAACCAATATTTTTGAACCCTGAACCCAAAGGTGCCAGATTTGAATTGTTCATGGACCAAGTTATATCGACATTAAGCAGCTACGGCATTATCGTTAACAGTTTCTACGAGATGGAGCAAACTTTTGTTGATTACTATAACCAGAAGGACCAAGTCAAGCTATGGTGCGTCGGCCCATTGTGCCTGGCCAAGCCAATTAAATTAGCAAAAAACGAACCAAAACCCTTCTGGATTCAGTGGCTAGATGAAAAGCTAGAAGCAGGGTGCTCTGTTCTTTACGTAGCATTCGGGTCGCAGGTAAGGATCTCTGTCTCACCATGAAAAACAGAATTTCTTTTATTATATATGAATTTGTATCTAATATTCAATAAAAATTGTATATTACTTCCTTTGTCAGGCGGAGATATCTGCAGAGCAGCTCAAAGAGATTGCTAAGGGACTGGAAGACTCGGAGGTGAACTTCTTGTGGGTAATAAGGAAGACAGAGTCGGAACTAGGAGATGGGTTTGAGGAGAGGGTGAAAAACAGAGGCATTGTGGTGAGGGAGTGGGTGGATCAGTGGGAAATTCTGATGCACCAAAGCGTTCAAGGGTTTCTGAGCCACTGCGGATGGAACTCAGTGTTAGAGAGCATATGTGCAGCGGTGCCTATTCTGGCGTGGCCAATGATGGCGGAGCAACCGCTGAATGCAAGGATGGTGAGTGAGGAGATAAAGGTGGGGTTAAGGGTGGATATGTGTGATGGGAAAGTGAGAGGGTTTGTGAAATCGGAGGGGTTGAAGAAGATGGTGAAGGAGTTGATGGAGGGAGAAACGGGGAAGGAGGTGAGGAAGAACGTGAAGGAAGTTGCAGGGATGGCCAACAAGGCTTTGGAGGAGAGCAGTGGGTCATCATGGCTTACGTTAGACTTGCTAATTAAAGAGCTAGGAAACAAGAATTAGTGCATCAGCATATTCGTCTTGTATTTGGAGCCGAGACAATGGTAGCACCATTATTAAGGTTGCGTTTGTATTCAATTTGTGGACAAGGACTGTCGTAGTTAGGACTACGCCTATAGTCGTCAAAAAAACTTGTGCGGTGTAGTTTCTTCTGGAATATATGATCATAGCTATCCCACACAAATATATTATAAATTTATTTTATTTGACTGATTTTTTTATAACTGATTAAGAAGTTTAAAAATATTAACTTATTAATTAATAAATATTAATTATTTTATATATTATCAATTAATAATTATTTTTAACGATCAAACTAAACACATCTACAATATTTTTATGACCTTAACAAATGTTTGTTTGGCCATAAGCATGCCCAGAACGGCATAGACAGCAGCAAAGCAATTTCCGAGCAGATATTCTGAATATCATGAATACCAACCTATCCACACAACAATCGTAGCAATCTCTAAATTCTTCTAAAACAGAACACTTGACATGTTAACATTGGGTTAATCACTTTCCAGGGGCAATCACACAAGGTAAAACAAGGAAAGCACAAACACTTATCATATTTATAAATTCTTACTTAAAGTCAAAAGTAGTAATACAGAAAATCTTTCAGGTTTTCTAAGAACAAATAGAATGTTAACCATCAAGAGTAACATTAGTCTTATAGAAAGATAGCTATA